ACATGTTTATTACTTTTAATGCCTAATCCATATTGATACCAATAAGCAAGCCTCTTTAGTTCAATAGAGTTTCCTAGAGGTTGAATTCAAATATATTCAAATATTTCTATAATCATTTGTTAATTTTTTTTATAAATTCAGATATCTGAACTTTTAAATTTTACATTCAAATACTATCTAGATAGTATTCAAATACTATTTAGATAATTTTAATATGCCATTTTGTGCTAGTTATATAATTATATTGTATATTGTTCTTAAAGCTTAATACTATTTATTTTAAATATTTGATATTAAAGTAAAAATATACATATTTTTAATTAAATAAATTTTGCCAATATATAAATTTAATTTGCTAATTTAATAAAATAAAACAAATTTTGTTACAAAAATAAAAATATATATTTATACTTAAATTTTCATGCTTAGATTTTCATAATTTTAATCAAAATTAGTCTAAATTATATATAATAAAATTTTAAAATAAATCTTATTTATATTATATAACTAATTTAGCCAAATTGATTCTATAGAAATATATTTTATATTTCTTTTTAAAATATCCTAATTGTATCTGAATACTATCTGAATATTATCTGGCCATATTTGAATATCTAAAAACTCCTATCTGGAAACTGAACTTAAGATTCAGATATCTGAATAGTGATTCAGATATCCAGATAGTTAGTTGCCTCTATAGTTCTAATCTCTAGTATTTTCCATCTTAGTAGATTTTTTAAAATAAATAAATGCTTTATATTCATCTTCTTCATCTTCAATTTCATTTGCATGACAATCTCCAACATTATATATTCCTATTAAGAATTACATTTCTGCAGATTTTTGATAATAGATGAATGTCTTATATTTATCCTTTTCAATACAAATTCCAAAATGATAACAATATCTAACATTTTTTGATCCCTTATCATCTTCCACCTCTGCTGTTTTATAATAATAATAAATGCTTTTTGCTTATACTTTTTAACTTCAATATTATGTTGATAACAATATCCAATACCATTCATTCTAATGAACTTCATTTTTGCAAATTTTTGATAACAAATAAATGCCAAATACTCATCTTTTTTAACTCTAATTCTATAATAATAACAACTTCTAATAAGATATATTTCATTAGGCTCATACATCTTTGCAGATTTTTTAAAATATTTGAATACTTTATGTTTATCCTTTTTAACTACTATTCCATCTTTATAAAATCTACTAATTGCCATTATTCTAACAGCATTATTAATTTTAGCTAATTTTTAATAATAAATACCTTATATTTGTTTTTTTTAACTTTGATTTCTTCTAGATATGAATACCTTATTATAATTATTTCATTAGCATTCTCTAAATCTGCAGATTTGTAAAAATAACTAAAATCTTAAGTTTATCCTTTTAAATACCAATTTCATATTTATAATATTGTTCAATATAATATGTCTCATTAGCATATTTCATATTATCAAATTATTAATAATAAATCAATACCTGACTTTTGTTCTTTTTGACTTAGTTCTATAATGGCAACATTGTCTGACTTGAAATGTTCTATAATAAGTCCCATCTCTGAAAGTTTTTAATAATAAATAAATGCCTTTTTTCATTCTTTTCAATACTAAATCTATTTTGATAAAAATATCCAATCATCAGTATTACCCATCTCTGCAGATCTTTGAAAATATATAAATACTTCTTTTTATTCTTATCAACTTCAATTTCATTTAATAACAATGTTCAACATTAAATTTTCCTTTAGCATGCAGATTTTTGAAAATAAATAAATGTCTTGTATTTATCTTTTTCAATTCCAATTCCTTTATATAGTAGTAAAATTTTTAATATTTGTTATATTATTAAAAATTGAACTTTTAATATCATTTCTATGATTACATTGAAGATAATTATATAAATATATTTTTTCTTCACTTAATAACTTGTCATTGTAAACTTGCTAACTTAAAAATAATATTTTATAAGGAATTAAAAATGATTAAGAGTTTATTAATAAAATATTTTTAACTTTAAGACTATAAAAAAACAAACCATTTTTAGCTTCATTAATATTAATAAATCCATTCAAAAATTCGTTCAAAAAACTCAATAATTTGATAAAATGATAAAAAAATCAACAATATTACAAATGAAATCTACTTTTTCTTTATCAATTACTAATGTATAAATTGGTTAACCTGAAAATGACTTAAATTAGTGTTTTTAAATATTTTCTCGAATATAGAACAAATACAAATTGAAGCCTTATAAGAAAAAATGCATTGTCATAATAATTAAAGTTAGCAATTCTATTTGTAAATTGGATAAAAAAATTCAATTATTTGTTGACCAGTTGAAATTGTTCTTCAGCAAACATTTTAACTACATTATTCTATACAGTATCTATATTAGGCTATGCAACGTTAATTTTTCATTTTGCATTACTCAGTAATTCAAATTTTTTAAAAACTCAAAAAAAATTTTTTTTTTATTATAATTTGTTTTAAAACAAGTTTTGAAATGTTTGTTTTAATTTTTTAACAAACTGAGATTAAAAAATCCAATATTTATTTAATAAAAATATAAAAACAATATAAGAATTATTCAAGTAAGTTCAATAGTAATATAATTATATACTAGTAATAATACTATTATATGAATGTCAAGAGAAAATCTGCAAATCTTATAATATTTATAGGTTTTCTTTTGGTGACATTCATATATGACAAAATTTCAATATATTTACTTATAGAAACCTATTTACTATGAATAGGATGTTTTAAATTAAGTCATTTATAAAATATTAATATAGTTAATATTTAATGTAATTAAAATTTGACTTTAAAAAATATTAATTTTTATACAAACTTTTTTTTATTTTTATTTTTGTGAATATGTGCAGTAAATTTTAAAGATTTTCTATAAGTTGGAGTTTTGATTTCATTCTGTATGCATTCTGTATATAATGGATATTGAGTAGCCAAAATTGAAATAGCAATATTAGTATCACCATATTTAAAACATAATAATAAGAATATTTGAGCAAAATAATAAGACTTTTCTATTGATGAATTACAGTTTAGCCTATTATTTATGAACACCTTTTTGAATAATAGTTTAATTGTTATTTTATTAGTATCTAATAATTCAAAACTTGATATACTTTTAGTTTCAGAATTATAATCACTTTCTTTACTATTTATTAATTTATTAATTTATCAAATTTATTAGAGCTATCATTATTTTTACTATATAGGCTAGGTGCTATAGAAAAGAGAAAAATTAACAAAAAAAAAGATCTTTAGAAAATCTATTTTTATATTATAAATTTTATAATAAGCTATAAAAAATTATAAATTTTGAAGAGCTATACTGCAAAATTTTATTAATAAAAATACTTTTGTGTTTTAAGTAAAAAATGATCTTGATTGTATTTTAAATTAATTTATATAAAAAAATAAATTTTAAAAATTTGGTGATTTCCTCCTTTTTTATAGCACATAGCCCATATACTAATTTATCATAATGATTACTATCCAATTCATCACAAGATTACTATCTAATTCATTATATTGATTACTGTTTAATTCATCATACTGATCACTATCTTTACTATCTATTAATTTGTTATTAATATTATCACTTTGGTAAAATAGATTTTTTCAAATTTCTGAAACTGAATATTGCAAATTATCTATCTTATTTTGGTCTACCAATTTAGAATTACTTTCTAATTCAGTATAAATTTCTGAATTTAGGTGTTGTAAATCATCTTTTTTATTTTGGTTTACTAAATTGTCAAAATTATTTTTACTGCATTTACTATTACTTAATTCAATTTATCACTAACATATTTTTTATTTTTTAATCTTAATCTAGTATTATTTTCTAATTTGAACTTATTAATTAATTGTAAAGAAGTTTGATTTTGGATACTAAATAGATTTTCTGCATTACAAAATGATGAACTACAATAATAATCAATAGTATTTAAGTATACAATTAATAATTTTTTTTGCATTCATTTAGTTTTTGTTTAGAGTAAAACAATTGTCAATGTTCACATTCTAATACATAATGTAAATTTAATAATTTTTGCTCTTTGTACTGTATCATTAAATAACATACTATTTTTGTTTAACTTTAATTAGGATTTTTTACTATTTTTATTATTTATAAGTGATGAATAATAAATTTTAGTAATATTATTGTCATATATATTATTCAAGAAGGCATAATAATTATTTTTTCCAGAAATAGGGTCAGAAAAATGATGAATTTGGTTAAAAATATCTTGTGGAAGTTTTGTAGATTTGCAAATAATATATTCTATTTTTTTACACTTTTTAATTGAGAAAAAATAATGTCTTAACTGACAACAATGATCAAAAAATACTTTAAATTCAATCTAATAAAGTAAAATAATATTAAATAATAATATAATAAAGTTAATTATTATAAATTATAAGTAATTATTTTTTATTGTAGAAACTGTGTGCTGTATAAAAATAAAATTTTGTATATATTTTTTGAATAGATGTATAGATATTATACAGAAATTAAATATTTGTAAATAATATACACAGTTGCTCATAGTTTTTTTTTATTTGCTGTACCAAAATTTTTATAAACTATATAGTATTTACACAGTAAATTTTATTAAAAAATTAAATCTATAAACTATTACCTTATTTTTAATAATTTTTATATTTTATCTGTTTTTAATGTAGTTTTATCTAAACATAAAATTGCATTAAATATTTGATCAATATTTTTAGTTGTTGTAGCATTTATTGTTATAAATAGCTTATTTTTTAAACTTTGGTGAGAAAAAAAATACTATTTAAAAGCTCTTTTATAGGCTTTAAACTATTATTTAATTTTTGTTTAAGGTTTAAATAATTTTTAGCTGCTTTTCTAATATTTTTAATTGAATTACAACATTCTAAAATTTATTTAAATTCTTTAGACATCTTTTTGAACATTAATTCAATACACTAAAACTCAAGACTTAAAATTAATATAACTCTTTCTACAGGATTTTTCCAAAAATGTCCTGGTGGTGTTCTTACAACTACTAAATAATTAAGATCAAAAGACAAATAAAGAGCAATAAGAGAAATTTGAACAGATAAGTAGTTAATACAATAATCAGAACCTCTATCTGTATACAAAAATAAAATTAGTAAATTTATATCAAATTTCTAATAATATGATAAAGTTTTGTTTAATAACATAAAAGTGATGATGCTTCAAATATAGGATCTTTTAAAGCTATAAATACATGACCTTTATAAAATAAATTATTAATAGATTTTGGTATATTGCATCTTATTATAACACTAAGAACAATTCTAATCTTAGTAAAATTATGATCACTAATTAAAAAGTTTCATTTATACTAACTAAAACTTGTTTTTCACATTCTACAACTGCTACTAAATATTCAGATTTACCTACTTTGCAATGTTTTTTATTATTAAGAAAATAAATGAACAATATTCACATCAAATTGTTAAAAACTCTTTCTGCAAATCCATTGCACAAAAATTAACAAAAAATTCGTCCGTCTAAAAACTCTTATAACTATTTATTT